CCTGGGAGTGTGCACTCTAAATTCTTGCTGGTGTGCCATGGCAGATGCCTATAATCCCAGCAACTGTGGAGGCTGAGGCAAGAGGACTGCAAGTTAGAGGCCAACCTGGGCAATTTAGCAAGAACCTGTCTCAAAATAAAACAGAAAKGCTGGGATCAGCTCAGCAGTAAAGCACTTGCCTAGCGTGTGCAAGATGCTGGGTTTTCGATCCAGTACTCCCCCACAACACAAAACACAATCTTCACAAGGGCAAAAGGAGTAGAACCCAGAGGGCTGTATAGAGGGAGGGAGAGCAAAAGGGCACTGCCCGCACATCCACACTGTCTTCTTCTTTTGTAAAAGTTCTTMTTTTGTAAAAGACTAGATCCATGTTTTGGGATAGGGGTATACCTCAGTGGTACAGCCTGGTCTGTAGGAGGTCCTGGGTTCTGTCCCCAGAACCACAAAACAAGACTTGTACATTCCTGAGTAATCAACAGTCAACATGCCAAGGAAGCTGTTTGGGGGGAGCCTCTCTTTCATGGTGTTCTCTCCTATCAGAAATTCCCTGCCCCTCCTTCACCTGGCAGGTCCCTTCTCATTCTTCAGGATGGCGGCTCAAGGTCACAGCCTCTCCTGGGGAGTGCCAGCCCTGGCCTGCCTATACTCCTACACTTCCTTCACATGCCCACTACTGGGCTCTTAGATCTACCTCCTAATAACTTGTAACTAGTGACCCTTAGGTCACTAGTTCAAACACCTGGTTCAAGGGCAAGCCCATGCCAAGTGTTTGATAATTATCCACAATATTAACAGTTAAACCTTGGCCTCTGTCGCTGGGCCTCCCACATCTCTTGTTCTGCAGGATGCCTGCTCCAGCATCTGACATGCAGTACCCACTCAGCTTCGGATCAGACCCCTTGTGCTCTGTCCATACTCTGGCCACTGAGTCACCATGGGACTCTTCCACCCCCAATTCCCCCAGATGGAGGTAAAGGACCACTGGGTATGGTCTAGTTTTGCATTTCCCAGTTTCTGTGAAAGTGAAAATAGGTAAGCAGTGATAAAAAGTCTTCGAAGCTAGATTACAGGTGGCAAAAGTTGCCTCATCTCCTGTCCCAATGAGGTRTTGCCATGTCCTTTGGCAGTTAAACACTCTGGAAAGTTCTATGGTGAAGCATGAAGCAGCCTACTTAATCCACCGTTCCCCACCCTGTGTCGGCTGAAGAATGCTTTTCTTGTGGCAATACCTACTAAATCTTCCAGAATAACAAAAGCATCAACTTAACTTTTCTGAGTACCTACTGTGTGCCACATACTACACTGAGCACTTCTCGTTACCTTCACTTTACAGAGGAAGAAACAGACTCAGGAAATTTCAATAACTTGCCTGAGAGATGTTCTCTAGAACCCAGGACCTGGGCAGTCCTGCTGCTGTTCCTTGCTCTAAAACACKATGTGACACAGTGTCTCAGAACACAGTTGTGTGACTGTATCCAGGACACACTGACCCAGGCAGCGAGGAGAGATTTGAGAGCTAAAGTGCTGATACAGTCATCCCATAGCATCTGCGGGGGATTGTTTCCAGATCCCTGCCCACCACAGGAACCAAAATCCAGGAATGTTCAAGTTCCTCACATAAAATGGCCTAGTACTTGCATGTAACTTGTGCACATTTTTCTGAATACTTTCAATAATCTCTAGATTGCCTCTGACACCTAATACAATGCAAATGCTACAGATATAGTTGCTATTGTTTAGAGAATAATGACACAAAGGAAAAAAATGTATACATATTCAGCACAGATGCAACCGTCATAGGTCTGGATCTTAAATGTCCTGCAAAGGCCCATGTATTGAAGGCTTGGTCCCCCGTGCGTGGCACTATGAAAGTGAAAGAAAGTAAGTTCTTCRTGGGTGTGCCCTTAAAGGGAATATTGGAACCCCAAACCCTTCTGGTCTYTCTCTTTGCTTCCTGGCCACCATGAGGTGAACATGTCTCCGCTGCTACATGTTCCTACCATCATGTACCCAGAGCCAGCACAGGCCCAAAGCAACAAGGCTAGGTGACCGTGGACTGAAGCCTCTGAAACTGTGAACTAAAATAAACCTCTTTCCTTATTAAGCTGATTATCTCAAGTAATTTGTTAAAGTAATGCAAAGCTGACTAACACAATAGGCCTAGTACATGTTTGGTGACAATGAACCCATAGATATGGAGGGCCAACTAGGCACACATTCTCTGCCTTTCCAAACTCTTGCGACACACCACTAAAAACCAATCATACTATAAAACACAATCAAATATACTAATCTGCAGGACCTGGATTCAAGTCCAAAGACAAATCACCGAACAAATAAGGTCTACAATTCAAACGAAACTCTAAGCATTTTGTGGTTCTCTGATGCTTGTGTATCACAATAGAATTTTTTAAAAAATATTTATTTTTTAGTTGTAGTTGGACACAACACTTCCATTTTACCTATTTTTATGTGGTGCTGAGGATCAAACCCAGGGCCTTGCACATGCTAGGCGAGCGCTCTATCACTGAGCTACAACCCCAGCCCCCCCACAGTAGAATTTTTTAAATTGGCAAATTTCCAGAGGCACTTACATGGCACAATGAAGGCTAAATCATATCTCATGTTTGATTTGTCATACAGGTTGCTGAATTCAAGCAAAATTATGGCCAATAAAAATTATCTGTGTCTAGGAATAGACCTACATACTACAGTCAATTGATTTTCTTTTCCTTTATTCTGGTGTGTGTGTGTGTGTGTGTGTGTGTGTCTGTCTGTCTGTCTGTCTGTGTGTGTTTCTGGGAAATGGACTCAGGGCCTTGCACATGGGAGACAAGTACTCTACCATGAAGCTATAACTCAAGCTCAATTTTAAACAAGAGTACCAAGAAAACTCAATATCTTGGGCCAGGGTTGTGGCTCAGAGTGGTAGCGCGCTTGCTTAGCATGCCTGAGGCACTGGGTTTAGTTCCCGGTACCATATAAAAAATAAACAAACAAACAAATAAAATAAAGATATTGTGTCCATCTATAACTAGAAAAAATATTTTTTAAAAAAAACTCAATATCTTTTCCTTAAAACTTTGAAAGAAGTTATAGTCTTTTCAACAAATGATTCTGGGACAACTGGATATCCCCATTGTAAAGAATGAAGTTGGATCCCTGCCTTACATCATACACAAAACCTAAAATGGATTACAGGCCTGTTTTGGTTATAGCAGAAACTAAAACTCTTAAAGAAAACACAGCAGCAAATCCGTGTAACCCTGGATTAGGCAATGGCTGCTTAGATAAGACCCCCAACACACAAGTGACAAGAAAACAAATCAATAAATCGGACCACTTTGAAATGAAAGACTTTCTGTTTTAAAGGGCACAGTTAAGAAAGTGAAACAACAGTCCCCAGAATGAGAGGACAGGCCTGTAAGTCATATATCTGATAAGGGACTTGTATCTAGAATCTATAGAGAACCTTATAAGTGAAACAATTAAAAAGAGAGCAATTAAGCTGGGCGTGGTGGCACACAGCTACTTGGGAGGCTGACCAGGAAGATTGCAAGTTTGAGACCAGCCTGGGTAATGTGTCTCAAAAAAATTTTTTTTAATTTTTAAAAAGATGTTTTAAAGGCCTGGGGATATAGTTCAAAAGTAAGTGCTTGCATAGCACATGCAAGGACCTGGGTTCAATCCCCAGGACCACACTCACACTAAAAAGACTCATTAACCAGTTGAAAAAAAAAAAAAAAAGAACAAAGGATATGAATAAATATTTCTTCAAATAAATTATTAAAATGGCCAATAAGTTCATGAAAATATATTCAACATTATTAGCCTTCATGGAAACACAAATTAAAACCACAATATCGGGGCTGGGGATGTGGCTCAGGCGGTAACGCGCTCGTCTGGCATGCGTGCGGCCCCAGGTTCGATCCTCAGCACCACATACCAACAAAGATGTTGTGTCTGCCGATAACTAAAKAAATAAATAAATATTTAAAAAAWAAATAAATAAAATAAAACCACAATATCAATTCACACCCACTGGGATGACTAAAATAAAAAAAAAGACAATAACATGTCTTTACAAAGATGTGGACAAACTGGATTCTTTCCACATTGCTAGTGGGAATGCAAAATGCACGGCTACTTGGAACAATTCGGTAGATCCTCAGGACTATTGATCACAGAATTATCTTATGATTCAATAATTCTGCTCTTACATATATCCCCAAGAGAACTGAAAACAGGTATTCAAGCAAATACTTATGTGAATATTCACAGTATCACTACTCCACACAGCCAAAAGGTGGGAACAGCCCAAATATCCGTGAGCTGATGGATAAAGTGTGATCTATCCACAGAAGGGAATATTACTCAGCCATAAAGTCAGTAAGTAGTAACATAGGACACAACGTGGATGTATCTGGAAAAAAGTACTCCAAGTAAAAGAAGTCATACCCCAAAGACCACACATTGTATGATGCTACTTAAATTAAATGTACAGAACAGATGAATCTACAAAGACGGAAAGTGAATTAGTGGTTGCGCGGGGCTACAGGAGGAAGATGGGAATGGGTAATGACTGGTGATTGGGTATGGGGTTTCTCTTTGGGGGATGATGAAAAAGTTTGATATTGACAGCAGCAGTGGCTATACAACTTTGTGTAGGTACTAAAACCCACTGAACTATACTCTTTAAACCTCTCATTTTCACTTATTCAAATTTCTCCTTCTTCCGGAACCACCCTTTCTTTCCAAGTGAGGTCCTCTTCAACCTTCACCCTACTGTAACGCAGCTGCCTTTCCTGTGTGATTCTCTGCTCAACGCCTGCTCTCACTAGGCTACAAGCCCCAGGAGGGCCGGGGCCAGGCTTTGCTGTTGCTGAATTCCCTGGTGCCGGCAGCATCCACCCAGAACAGTTTCTACCCGATTCTGTGACAAGGTGAGGAGGTATAGACTGGAGCTGTGGGGGTCCCACCGGGTGGGAAGAWAAACTTACTTTTGTAGGCTGGCCATCTGCTTCACAGCTTGCACGGCCCCTGGCAGAGGCTCAAGTTCAAAGAAGAAATTCTTCGTCTCCCAGATGCTGATGGCCTTCTCCTGAAAAGTCAAGAGAAGCAGATTACCTCCAGGCTCCACAGGGAGTGTGTGTGTGTGTGTGTGTGTGTGTGTGTGTGTGTGTGTGCACTTGCATGCATTCTGTCCCCTTTCCAGGAAGGATGTGACTTCTGTTAGGATCCAGCAGGGACCAGCGAAGGGGTCAGGGCCATGGATCCACGTTAGCTCTGTGGGGAGGGACATGGGGTTCTCTGGGGCTTCAGGTCAACCTTCCCGAACCACAGACTTGATTCGAATGAATGAATGAAGTACTGTGGAGGCTGGAGAGAGGACCAGGTCTTGTCATGGCAGAACTGTCAATGGACTTGAGGGCTGGACAGTCTCAGAGACCCTGGAAGTGCACAGCTGAGCCAGGTGGGACAGGGGGAGGGGAGGCAGTGTGAAAGGTCAGGAGAGCACCAGGCTCCTCCTGCCAACCAAAACAGTTCTGCTTTGATGTTCTTTATGTGTTGAGGTGCCAATAATAGCTTTTAAAAAAAAAAAAACATTCTGCCGCTTTTAAAGTTTGAAAGCAAAAATTCAGACCTTCATTTTATTTTATTTTTTAAAATATTTATTTCTTAGCTGTAGTTGGATACAGTACCTTGAGTTTACTTATTTATTTTTATGTGGTGCTGAGAATCGAACCCAGGGCCTCGTGTGTGCTACGAGAGCACTCTACCACTGAGCCACAACTCCAGCCCCAGATCTTCATTTTATATGAGAAAACCAAGGGTCAGAATGGGGAAGATATCTACCCTATGTCACACAGCAAGACAGTGACCTTGCTGGGAGTAGAATACCCCTATCTCTTCACTCCCAGGGCAGTAACTTTCCACCTTTTGCTATTAGGCCTAAACCCAATTTTCAAAAGGCAGCTCCTTTTCTGGGGCCAGGCAAGGGGAAAGTGATAAATCTCAGTCTCTGAGAATCAAGAACCTAAATCCAGGTGTGCAGTTCAGAAGTGCCTCTCTTGTAAGAGATCATATAAGCAATATTCTTGTGAACTACACAGGGCTAAGTAAATGTGCACTTATTGCTGAGATAGGTCTTCTTGTCTGATACTCCCAATCCCCAAGAACCAAAGATCACTAAACCCAATTTACAGATAAGGGAGATTTTGTTCAAGGACGCTTAGGGGTGACACCGTCAGGACTTGAACTCATGTAGAGACAGTCTGGATGAAGTCCAAAAGCCCTGGTCCTTGCCGTGTGACCTGGGTTCACCACCTCCACTAAATGAGCCTCTCTCCTATCCTCAGAATAAAGACAGAAGCTCGCCCCTTTCTTACAGGGTTCTTATGAGGAGGTGACAAATACAGTAACCTCAACACCCAAGTCTCACGTTGAGATGACAGTTTCTCAGTACCCCTTCCCTGACACTAACTTGCTGGGAACCACTAGTCAACCCTCTCTGGCTCAGTGCATCTGTCCTAACAGTCTAAGATTCTAAGTCTGTTAAAAATGAGCTTTTCTTTCCATCTCTGCCCTGCTTACCTACCTGAATACTATGAAGATCAAAGGGAACACAGACAATGCAATCAGCCCTCCRTATCCACAGGTTCTGCATGCAACAGACTCAACCAACCACAGATAGAAAACATTTGGAAAAAACACACTGCGTCAATACTAAATATGCAGAGACATTTTCCCTTGTCATTATTCCCCTAAACAGTGCAGGATAGCAACTATTTACATTGTATCAGGCATTATAAGTTATTTAAGTGTGACTTAAAGTATACGGAAAGTGGGTAGGTCACATGTAAATACTACACCATTTTATGTAAGACACTTGAGCATTTGTGGATTTTAATATCCAAGGGAGATCCTGGAACAGTCCCTCTGGATACTAAGGGACTTTATTCTGTAAAGTAGAAGTGCCTTATCCAAACACAGGTTCCTCCCAGAGCACCTCCTACTTCCCCCACGAGCTGCTCCTTCTCTCTGTACTTGGAAAACAAGAATCTGTCTCCTTAGACCTTGAGCCTGGATCTCTGTGAAAAGGGCACGGAAAACTACTGTGCTTTTCAGAGTTGGGGATGGACTTAGTTCATCCATCATAAACTCTTGGGAGGAAATAAGGTGTCCTGAATTCCAATACTCGGTCACCTATCTACAAATGAACACCAAACATCACTGAAATGACATGGGTGTGTCCTTTGGTTTTTAGTTTTTAATGAGGTCTCAGTACCAGGAGAGATCAGCGTACCAGGCTCTGTGGAATTCACCTTCGGAAGTCCTGGTTTTGAGGTAGGATAGAAAAGAGATTAAAAGATAGGCTGAAAGGAAACAGAAGAGAAGGAAAAAAGAGACTCCAACTTTAAATATAAAATCCCCATGATCACAGGACTTGACACCTTTATTCCCCAGACCTGTCGTGCTTACCGGCCTGTCACCCCCAAATTCTTGAGAAATCGATAAATCTGAAAGTTATCATAAATTCACTCGTCTATGAAAATTGCCTGGTTTTAATGCTTATGAGCACTATTAGCTTACACAATGTACTTTTCAATTAGATAAAGAAAAAAGGAGATGTATTTTAAGAAACCTATATATAGGTTTCTTATAACCTATATATAGGTTATAAGAATATATATAACCTATATATAGGTTTCTTATAACCTATATATATAKATAGATAGATAGATAGATATAGGCACATTTCAAATGTTATCTAGAAAAAAGAGATAATGACAACCTGAGTACTTCAGAAGACCACACCATCTTAAACATCTTGTAATCACCAGGCAGATGCCATTCCCACATACCTTCCCAGGTCCACCCCACAGAGTTTCCTTTAAAAGAAAAGCCCGTGAGCCAAGCGCAGGGGTAGATGCCTGTAATCTTGGACTCAAGAGGCTGAGAGTTAGAGGACTGGCTTGGGCAACTTAGGAGGGTCTGCCTCAACAAAACACAAAAAACAAATAATAAAAATAAAAGGACTAGGTTGTAGCTCAGTGATAAAATTCTACTGGGTTCATTCCCTACCACCAAAAAAGAAAAGAAAAACCTGTGACCCAAAAAAGTGCTTCTCACTCAAAATGGACCACGGTCTGCTCCGAGAATGCCTATCTTCATCTTTTACTTTCTAATACAGCTCTTCCTCTTTGCTACAACCTGATGCATCTTTAAATTCTTTTCTGCAAAATGTCAAGAACCTAGAAGGTCTGAGCAGAGATCTCCTTGCCTGTGGAGAGACCACTTCCCACCCTCTTATGGTGAAACTTTGAATAAAGAGAAATGGTACTTGAGTACTTCCTCTGACACCTGAACCTCAGGAAGATCCTTCCCCTTCACAGTGTTTCACCATGGTAAGGCGCTGGGTCTATCCTGGGGAGGTGTGCTGTTCCACCTTCCGGGTCCTTCCCTGTACAGGATGCCCACACTTGGCAGGTGGAAATGCTTCTACTACTCCCTGAAACTGGAGGGCCCAAGCAGGAGCAAAGAGCAGCTCTGGCCTCCAAGTTGGTACTTGTTTTCCCCCAAATTATTGTGGGGCAAAACAAATTGTTGTATTGTGCCTTGTTAGAGTCAGAAGAAATGTCAGTTGTTAGGGCAGGACAGGCGACAGGACTTTGGAAGGGAAAAGCTAAAATGTGCCTAGCAGGCAGACAGAATGGAGTTTGAATCCTGCCAGGGCCTCTTATGGATCAGAAGACTTGGCCAAGTTTCCTCATCAGCAAAACGAAGATAACAATGCCTACCTTCAGAAGAGATAAGGCAGTGAACTTGGGCTCTTTATCCTCACCATCAAACCCTCTGCAGTGACCCCAAGTGGCTAATCAAGGGATGCTATAAAATTCCCAGCCTCTTTTAGTTTGTGCATGGCAAAATCCTCTGTTCCTTTCACAAAACATTTTAAATCTTACAAATTATGCCCTCTGCAAAGGTCCCTGTATGGATATTTCTATCTATCCATGAAGGACTCAGGGGGCAGAGCACAGTTTGGGGGCGCTCAGGTATTCAGCAGGACAGGTATTTGGCACTGAATTTTGGGACAGGCTAGGGGGTGGATTCCACCTCACCTTAACCATAGGACTCCCTGTGTGGCACTCTAAAAGTCTCTGAGCCTCCAATATCATACAAGCTATGCTTTCGTGGAATAGGGCAAAAAAGAAGGGTAAAGACACCTGTTAAAGTCATAGGTGAAATTTTAATTAACAAACGACCTGAAGCCAAATGTATCGAAAATTGAAAAATCGGCTGCACATAGAGTTTAGGTATATCATCGTTAGAAACCCCGGTGACAGCCAAAGATAAATGGTGCAGGGCAGCGCTTGGCGCTGCTCTCTCGTCCTCCCCAGAACCCTACTTTACAAGAGGACCACCCCAAGGCTAGGGCGGTGACCCGCGCAAGGTCACTCGTGCTGCTGGACTCCAAAGGGAGCTCTCCGCCCAGGGCTGGGAAGGTAGCCTCGATTTCCCTGTCCGCGGTGAGCAAGAAGGGCGGCCCGAGAGACACCCCGAGGGGACCGAGGCAAGGGATGCTCACGCTCAATCCCGGCCGCAGGAGGCCGTATTGCTCCGACACCCAGAAGCCGCGCCGGTCCTCCAGCGCGATGAAGGGCAGGTCGGGGAAGCGAGCGCGGAACTTCTTGAGGAAACCGCCCTCGAAGTCGGCCAGCACGCCGTCCATGTCCACCAGCACCCGCAGGGCGCGGCCGCCTCCCCGGCCCGCCGGCCCGCCCGATGCCCGGCGCCGCTCCGCAGGGCCCGGCGCGCCGCGGGGCCGCAGCGCACACCAGCCGCCCAGCCGGATCATGGCCCCTCGCGGCCGCCCGCCGTGGGCGCAGGTGCCCGAGCCGCCCCGCGCCGCCTGTGCGGGCCGGTAAACATACCCGCCGCGCAGGAGAAGCCCCGCCTCCTCCCCCGGCGCGATGCGGGCCACAGGGTACCTGGGGCGCGGGGCACGGGGCGCGGGGCACCGGGCGCCAGCGCGCAGACTCCAGCCTCGAAGCGAGACCGAGGTGCGCGCCCCAACCGGCAGCGAGGCCCCGCCCCTTTAAAGGGCCGCCCGCCCCGTGGAGGCGGAGCCTGAGGGGCGTGGCTTCGGGGACAGCTCTGGGTGCTGGATGTCCACATGCCTGGAGTCTCCACTCGCATCCTTTCTCARCAGCGGCCTGAGCTCGCTCTTCCCACTGCAGCAGCGGAGGATGAAGGAGCTGTGCATGCAAATGGAGCAGATCTGTGTCCTTAGACATGAACTGAGCGCTTGCTGTGTGAGACTGGAACCAGACAGACAAGGTTCCAGCCAGCCTGGAACTTAGGTTGTAGAAGGGAAGACAGACGATGGGGTGAAAGAACCAAAACGGGTTGTTAGGCACCTCTAAAGCCTCTCTGCTTATTTGGTGAATGTCTGGGGAAAGACTGATATGAGAACACGGAACCAGTATTTTTCAAGTAAACATATAAATAAATAGTATGTACCACGTTATAAGTTGCATTTTTTTTTCTTTACAAAACCAAACAACTTTGAAAACAGCACAGTAATGGGGTGATGTAGAAGGGTGAGATTGGCAGAGTGGTCGGGGAAGACTTTTACTGGGTGATGCTGTGTGAGATTAGAAAGTTCGGTGGTTCGTTTTGAGAATATAGTATTTAGCCTTAATTGGGTTGTAAGATCCAATTGTAGCCAATTTTAGCCCAATTGTAGCCCAGTTTTAAAATTATCCAATCACTAACCCCACTTTCTCCAATCAGGGCAAGAGGGAGCATTGATTTAGAGATAAAAACAGCTGAACTGCCTGCCCAAGTGCGCTTGCTAGATAAGTTCTTTAGCAGAAGTTAAGTTTGTCTTGCCCACCTACTTCTGAGTATGTGTTTGATTTATTTTTTTTTTATTTTTAGTGGTCAATGGACCTTTATTTTATTTATTTATTTGGATGCGGTGCTGAGAATCAAACCCAGTGCCCCACACAGGCCTGGCAAGCACTCTTGAGCTACAGCCCAAGCCCTGCGTTTGATTTCTTGCTGCACTTAGGTGTTTCTAACAATTTGGGTGCCAAGTGTGGAGCTCCATACATTGCCTAGGGGTCATGGGTCTCCTTCCTTAAAAGAGACACTTCCTACTGCCTTATTGCAGTGGCCCCAGAGCAGGGGAGGAAACTGTCTGTGATCCTTTTGATCCCCAAATCAAAAGTGGATCCACAAAGAGGGGAAAGGACCCAAGCAAGCACCCTGGAGGCCAGGTAACTCCAGGCATGAACCAAGATAGGAAAATCTACTCTCAAGGACCAGAGAGAAGTACTTCCTTGATGGTCATGGCATCTTGGAGATTCTGTGAGTATGACTGAGGCATGAGAGCAAGAAATCCCCAAAGAGCGGGGGTTGGGACTTGATTCAGAAACACTGAGAGCAAACTCAGGAAAGAGGGGTGGGAGTTTGTGTGCAAGAAATCCTCAGTAAGGAGGATAGAGCACATAGGGTGCCCCGGGTATACAAGAAACCTCCAACAAGCAGAGGTTGACTACACCAGGAAACTTAATTATAGAAACCTTAAAAAGCAGAGCATTGTAATAAAAATTCTAGGTCTAAGTACAGGGAAGAACAATGGAAATCTTTTCCTTTGGAGAGTTCCAAGCAGGGAAAATAAACAGTAGTGATGGTAGGAATAAATCTTTCCCCATGGAGGATAATGGCCAACTAAACCTTTGATTTCAGCATCCACCATGACTGACAGACTCTATTCCTAATGTTACCAACTGCACAGCCCATTTTCATATACCGGTCATACYGTAAAAAAAATCTGGGACAGGGTTGGAGTTGAGACTCAGTGGTAGAGCACTTGCCTAGCATGCATGCTCTGGGTTCATCCCTAGAACCACATAAAAAAAAAAAAAAACTAAATAAGTAAAATAAAGGTATTGTTTCCATCTTTTTTTAAAAAAAATCTGACAGGCTGTATTTTAACCTGTGTATTGTATGTTGTGTCTATATATGGGCTTGTATCTCTATCATGTACATGATATCAAAATTGGTTTTCATGGGTAACCTAAGTTAGAAATGGGTAAATTAGTTTTAACATAAATGGAATTAATCTTCATAAATGTGTTTGTTAGAGGAGACATCTGGCTGATTTACAAAGTTAAAATACTAAAACATCAACTAAGTATAAATTCAAGAACTCTTGGCTTCTTGAATTCCATAAGGTAACATATATTTGGGATATTAAATATACCAATTTACAAAAATTGGTAAATTAAAAAAAGGTTTACATCAGACATAACTTTCCTATGTTCATATATGCATACRCGACCAGTATAACTCCACAATATGTATACCTCAAGAATGGGGAGTTATACTCCATGTATGTATGATATGTCAAAATACATTCTACTGTCATGTATAACTAAAAAGGATAAAAAAAATTTTAAAAAGGTTTAAGGTTACTTAAACTAAAAGCAAGGTTGTGAAGAGTTGAAATTCTAACAGGTGTAATTCCATATGCATAACATAAGTTTCAGCTTATTAAAGTACTGTAAAAAGAATAAAGTATTTCAATTATTAAGAGAGAGAGTAAGATTTATCCCTGTGGCTCTGGGAGGCTGAGACAAGAGGATTGGGAGTTCAAAGCCAGCCTCAGCAAAAGTGAGGTGCTAGGCAACTCAGTGAGACTTTGTCTCTAAATAAAATACAAAAATAGGGCTGGAGATATGGCTCAGTGGTGGAGTGCCCCTGAGTTCAATCCCCAGTACCTTCCTCACCCCAGAAAAAAAAAAAAAGGAGTAAGATTTGTTTGAATGAGGGAAAAAAAAAAAAAAACTCTTGTGATGTCAGGAGCAACCTACCTAATAGAGGTTTTATGGTTTCTGGATAAGAGTCCGTGCTGAACAGGTATTTCAAAAGCATTGGGGCTAATGGTTGTAATCTATGTTGTACAGGCTCGGGAGGGTACCATAGTTGTTGGCTTTGTCCCTGACTTTCTAATTGACTAATTTTTCTGTAACCTTCATTTGGGTCTACCCCCACTTCCATATTCCCAGCATTCTGGGACAAAAGAATTGACTGTAATGTTTAACCTCACAGGGTGGCCTTTGCATTTGAAAAGAACAAACCAAAAAGGCAACTAATGATTCTGTCTTATTCAGGAAGGTGAAGCTGCCAATCACAAAGGACATAGCAAGGAGTTCCAGCACTATTAGATTATAACCTGGTGGGGGGGGGCATTAAGGCACTGTTTTGATTTGTTTTTTTGGGGGGAGGTTATATGCCAGATTTTCTATGCCTCTCCAGGGATAAACAGTTATGTAAACTAAACCTACAGATAACAGGCTTGCAAAGAGTTACAACTTCATTTGCAGGTGCCCCCAAGGAAAAGGAAACAAAGCCTGCTCTGCTGGAGGCCTACTAAAAGTGACTGAGACCACTTGAGCCAAAGGCACTATGAGGAAGATGATCAAGTTATCTCAACCAAGACTTTGTTTAGGGAGGAAATGGCTTGTCCCAGGAAGAATATATCCTCCTGTGTGTATATATGTGAATGCATGACCAATGTGATTCTGCAACCTGTATACTCAGAAAAATGAGATATTATATCCCTTCTGATTCAAATGTGTGATATGTCAAGGTCATTGTACTGTCATGTGTAACTGATTAAAACAAATTAAAAAAAAAGAAAGGCATTAATGGGGATCCAGTCTCTTCTGGACAATTAAAAAACAAAAAAAAAATTGAGTCCGCTTTACCAGATACCCTAAATATATGTAAATATAGATAGATASATACATACATACATACATATATACATACATAAAAGCTTAGGGGAACACTTTACCAAGCTGGTGTTCCCCAAACTAAAGTGGCAATCTCCTACAGATTTATATAGAAATAACAATTTTAACTGGGGTTTATTTATGTAAATTAATGTTCTGTAGGTGGATAAACGTAACCTTTTATCAGTAAGGTATATATAAAATTTTGTGTTACTTTTTAACATTGGAGTGGAAATTTCAAAGTATTTTAAAAGATAATAAGGAGAACCTGATTTGTTTAAAGGTTGACATTGTAAAACGTGGAAGCATTTTGCCACTTTTTCCACAAAAAGTAATTCAGGAACTCTCTTGGTTTTTGTATTTCAGATGTGATGTTGTATTGTGTTATTTGTCAAAAGCTCCACCTTACCTGAGATAAGTCTCCACCTCTCACCCWACTTCATGTTAGAATGAATCCAAAGAAGGTTAGACTTAAGCTCATTTAAAGTTATATTCAAAAGATAATTTTTTAATACTTTTTTGTCAATTTTCAGTGGACCTTTATTTTATTTATTTATATGTGGTGCTGAGGATCAAACCCAGTGCCTCACACATGCTGGGCAAGCGCTCTACCACTGAGCCACAATCCCAGCCCAAGAAATGTATACTTTTTCCTGTTAGGGTTTTGAAGAAGTACTCCTTCAAACAGAACAACCCAAGTTAATTTGAAATAATAAACCATAACCTATAGGATAGAATAAGATAGAAGCCTGACTTCCAGTACTAACACCAGTTTAATGGAAGAGGTAACTATATAATTATAGACGCCTCTTAACTATATAATTATGACACTGAAGTTACTGGTGATCTCTCTCACCCTGCACAATACTCAGTTCAAATTGGATCAGAGATCTGAGTATTAGACCAGAAACCCTGCACCTACTAAAAGAAAATGTAGGTCCAACTCTCCAACATGTCCACTTAGGGACCAACTTCCTCAACAAGAAGCACAAGAAGTAAAATTTCAGAAATCAATAAATGGGATGGTATCAAACTAAAAGGCTTCTTCACA